CCTCCACTCATTTAACTCGGGTTTTCAATTCGTTATGTGAGAGCTCAGCTCCACACGAGACCTGCAGCTTCTCCGTTTGACGCTGAATCATCTGCGTGTGTTCACGTCACAGCTTCTGATGCTCGAGTGTGTTTACGTGTAACTCTATCTTCCTCTGCAGAGACAATAGACACAAAGTCACTGAGTGACATAACACGTTTAAAGACAAGGGCAGCATTAAAAATCTAGTTACTCTTGAGTTTTGGACACTTCATCCTTTGACTCATGCAAGCTGCAAGAGGAAAAGTGTATTTATTTTGCGTGCGTGTTTGTGTGCATGCCACTTACTGAGTCTTCTCTTCCCTCGTCTTTATTTTTGTGTTTTTATCCCTTCTCCTCTGCAGCTTCTTCGCAGAGACTCCTGGAGGATCGGTTGCTGCCGAGTCTGCTGACACCTGAGTAACCAAGAGGCCACCACCTTCTATTTTAACTGCCTCGCTGCCAAATACCACCACCTCTTTCACACGTCCAAACAACAAAAAACTGAGCTCTTATTTTGCTAAATACGGTCGTTATTTTCTATTTTAGGCTAGCTATTTTAGGAAACATCTCATAAGACGAAAGAAAAATATGGACACTTTTGGATTTGGAGAAAAATGTGAATAAAGAATATTAAAAAAATCTTAAACGTAGTTTCTGTCTGATACTAAAAACTGAATATATTTATTATTAGCCTGATTTGATCCATATCTGCAAGTCATGTATTGGATTGAATTTTACTTTCCAGATGTGAAAACACAGGTTAGAAAGCACTGTAACTTTAATCTGTAAAACAATTCATTTCAGTTTATTTATATAGCTCCAAGTCAAAGCAGAAGTCATCTCAGGGCACTGGAACAGAAACATTCACATACGTACAAAAGCCAATTAGTTCTCTATCAAAGGAAGCCAGTAGACTCGTTGAATCTTCACTTCGCCACAGTCTCCCATCCTGAGCAAGCACAAAGGCAACAGTGGAAAGGAAAAACTCCCTTTAAACAGACAGAAACCTCCAGCAGAACCAGGTTCAGAACAAGCAGCCATCTGTTTCGACCAGCTGGGTTTGAGAGGAACAGAAAGGAGGAACAGATACACAATGGCAGGTTCAGATGTAGGTGCAGGTGTATCCCCATTGGAAGACAGACAAAAACACATATCAAGTATAGAAAAAAATTACAAATACGAAACTGGATGATCAGAGTAAATAAAGACAGTATAGTGAAGAAATGTGGTGTTGTGGAAATCTAAATAAAACTTGCACAGAAACACGTGAATTAATAAAAGACGTCTTCAAAAATGGTCTTTAAATATCCAACATTTTTCAGTCAGGTCATCTGGACAGTTTCTTTTTTTGTGCTGAAACATTTCGCCTTCGGTCCGGAAGGCTTCATCAGTCAAGGAAACACACAACAAAACTGATTCTTCCTCCAACAGCTTACTCCAAAGTGGAACAAACCAGTTCTGCTTGTGATAAGATGGTCTCTTTGGTACGCTCCCTCCTCCATTGCCGGCCCTCTTCCTTGTTGACAGTCTTGTCAAACTGGTTGAAAACAACAAAGTCCATGCTCAATAATCCAGGTATACAATCCAACATTTTTATTTTACTGAAAAATGTTGGTTTGTATACCTGGATTACTGAGCATGGACTTTGTTGGTCTTTAAATATGTTTATTGCAATAAATCAGGTCTCTCTTGTAAATGAGTCCTCGAGGCTCAATGGGATTTACCTGTCTAAATAAAGGTTGAATGAAAAATCATGTACCCTACTCTGCAGGAACCATATACTGGCACCGGTCATACAGAATGCTTTGTCACACAACCTGCAGGAGTGGTGCAAATGACAAAAGTCCAATCCTGCTTTTAAGCTCTTTCACATGTGATTCAGGAAAGACAAGACAAACAGGTCATGAATAAAAGTCATTGTGCTCTGTGTTTTCTGATAAGTGGAGCGTTTATGTACTCCGTTCTATTTAGATCAAAACAAAAATCTAGTTGGACAAGGCCTATCAATTTTGAGACGTAATGTTCTATGTTGATAACCAGGAGATGCATGATTCATCCTTATTTAACAATCACCTTGAGCACTATTTTTTACCATTGACAGACACATAATATGAATTTTATATTTAAAGTTAATCGTTATTATATTTAAGGTAAAGTACAAAAGTTTTCTATAACAGTGGTTAGTTTGTCCAACAGTCGAAGCCTATAGCAGCATAACTAAGGGATAGCTCAGGAAACCCAAGCCTACCCTAGCTATAGGACTGATCAATAAGGAAAAAAAAGCCCAGTCTTAAAACTGGACAATGTGTCAGCCTCACAGACAGAAACTGGAAGTTGGTTCCACAAGAGAGGAGCCTGATAACTGAAAGATCTTCTGCCCATTCTGCTTTTGGAAACTCTAGGAACCGCGAGTAAGCCTGCAGTCTGAGAGCAAAGTGCTCTGTTCGGAAAATATGGAGCAATAAGATCTCAAATATAAGATGGAGCTAGGTTGTTGAGGGCTTTGTAGGCTAGAAGTAAGATTTAGAATTCAATTCAGAATTTGACAGGGAGCCAGTGGAGAGAAGCTAAAACTGGAGAGATGTGATATTTCCTACTAACTCCAGTTAAGACTCTGGCAGCAGCAAAACAGGGACCTGCAAAGTTCTCTATGGTTTTATATTTACAACACTAGATCTCCTTACATGGACTGCAGTCCTCAGGAACACAAAAAACATAAAACAGTTAGCAACAGCTTACTCAACAGTTTTGAATAAATACATTGTTTACAGAAAAACACTAAAATCTCAAAATCATTTAGTTTGTTTTTGCACAGAAATCCCAATAAATGTAACTTTTCTGTAACACAAAGTTTTCTCTAAATAATATAATTTACAAACTTCCATCCATCCATTATCTTTACCCATTTCTTCTTTTTTGGTTCCTGGGGGGTCACTGGTGCCCATGTCCAGCTATCACTGTGCAAGTGGCAGGGGACACATGTCTCCAGTCCATCACAGAGACACATAGAGACAAATGAGACAAACAACCATTCACTCTCTCACTCGGGACTAGGGGCAATTTAGTTACCAATCAGCCTAACGTGCATGTTTTTGGTCTGTGGGAGGAAACTGGAGTACCCGAAGAAAACTCACGCATGCACGAAGAAAACATGCAAACTCCCCACAGAAAGGCCCCCGTCCGGGATTTGAACCAGCAACCTTCTCGCTGAGAGACAACAGCTCTACCAAATGTGCCAATTTACAAACTTAATTTCCAAAAGTTTGCATCAGCGTTTCATATTTAATTTCGAGACATTTGTTAAAAAATTTTATTCGTCTACACTTAAAAGTAATTTATAATCAAGTTTTTGTGACATGTATTACTATAATAAATACGTGAACATATTAAAACTTATATTTTGCCTGCGTAGCTGCTGCTACCTCTGGGTGCAATTCAGTTATTGCCTCTAATTCTTACTAATAGTTATGTTTCAGTTAAAGTTCAGGGTTTTGTCGTGCAGTGCTGCACATTCGGATCGTTCTTAATTTGATGAAGCAATATCTTCTTCCAGATCATGTTTTGCATTATTTTCGATTACAAAATAACACCAAATTTGGTTTAGTGAAATGATCTTCCCTCGTAGGGTGGCCAGTCTCAGAGATAGAGCGAGGAGCTCCATCATCTGTGGGGAGCTCCAAGTAGAGCCTCTGCTCCTCCACATGGAAAGGAGTCAGTTGAGGTGGTTGAAGCGTCTGATTAGGATGCTTCCGGGAGGCCTCACTGTGGAGGTTTCTGTCCCAGCGCTACAGACCCAGAAGTCACTGGAAGGACTGTTCTCTGACTCAGGAACACGTCTGGATCTGTTGCGTTTGCAATCTGACTTTGGATAAGCGTTACAAGGTGGGTATGAAATAACACTAAATTAAATTGTCAGCACAAACTAGTCCAATGACTTTCAGAAAACAAGCAAGCTCGTTTTTTATTTTACGAATAATATATACTTTTAAATACACAACATAGTTATACAATTTTTAATGTCAGAAGCACCCTGTGATGGATTTGCGACCTGTCCAGGGTGTACCCCACCTTTCAGTGACGGCTGGATATGGGCACCCTGCCGTGACCCTGAGCGGGTAAAAGATAATAAATATTTGATGGATTTCAGAAACAAAAAATAAATTTATAAACCAGTGTTAGCTTTTAAGTTGAAAAATGTCTGAAATAACTTTCTGACAAACAAAATAGATACATCATTACCCCAAAATGTTCCTGCTGAATGTGTATTTCATTATTCTTCTTGAGAAACTTTTAAATACTTTTTTGAATAGAAGCCACTTTTAAATTTTAGCCTTTACCCTTGAGCTGAAATGATCATTTAGAAACAAACTGTTCAAAACAACAAAAAATAGTTATTTTTTTCCCTAAACTTCAAAGTAGACATGCATCCAACAAAGGTCATTTGGGTGGTTTATTTTTTTGTTTGTTGTTGGGACCAGAAGCCATCTTATCACCAGCAAACTGGTTGGTCGATTATGGGAGTGTGCTGTTTGTGGGACTCAGTTTCTTTGTGGCTCCTTGGATTGATGAAGCCCTTTCTCAACAAAACAATAATATATGTTCAGATGACCTGACTGAACTTTGTTGGATTTTCTATTTGAGCATGAACTTTGATATACATCAATCAACCTTTATTTATACATGCTAAAGTTTAACAGCTTTTGTGTAACATTTTATTTAAATGTTTTTACATATAGCTATTTTATAGTATTTGTAATGTCTGTTCTTGATATGGGCTGTTTCGTTGACGTTTTACCTCATGGTGGTGTGCTTTTTTAAATGCATTTTAGTTTTTGTATGAAGTTCCTATTGATCGTCTATCGATTATTTTGGACTGAAATCGAAACAGCAACCATTGACTAATCGAGCGTCCGCTCTGATAGAGTGCGCATGCGCCGCAGTAAGTTTATAACGCCTACGTGGCTCATGTTCACGCCCCCCACGCGCTACTTAGCTTGTTTTAAATGTTTTTATAAAATGAAGATTTTCGCGCCGTTTCTGTTTTGTTTATGGAGTCACTTTGTTACAGCGCGTGAAGACGAGAGGCTGCCCAACAAGTGTGAAGGTAGGACGAGGGGAAAAAGAGGCGTTTTGAGTCGCCACAGCTGTGTTTGTTGTAAACATGAAGTGTTTACACTCTGTCAGTGTGCAAGTTTCTGACCGTGGAGCTGCAGGAGGCTCTGCAGAGAACCGGGCGGTCCAACGAAGTCCTGGAGGTCGGAGAAGTGTTGGACACAGGCAAGAGAAGAAGAAAGATCAAATACAACACCTCGTGAGTGAACGAATCAAAAAGTGTGCACCATGACATGTTTATTTTCTCAATCTGTCTTCTATTGTAAACAAATGACAGGAGGCTCAGGACTTTTGCACAGTGAGCTGATATTTAATCTTGTGTTTAAACTCAGGGAAACCAGGCTGACTGAGGTGCTGGACAACATCTGTGAGCGCATCCTGCAGTATAATGTTCACGCTGAGAGACCAGGCAGCCTCAGGTACTCCAAGGTAACTGCTTTGAAACACGTTTGACCTGAGAACCTGCTCCTCGTAGATCCAGGTGGACTTCTCTTCCCACCAAGTCACTTTCCCTCTCGTCCCGTGTTTGATGTGTCTAACCGCAGGGATCCAGTCAGACGATGACGACGCTGAGGAATCTGGTCAACAAAGGAGTGAAGGTGGACCTGGGCATGCCGTACGAGCTGTGGGACGAACCGTCGGCGGAGGTGACAGACATGAAGAAACAGGTAGGAGGCCATCATCACTGATCAGTCTCTGATGTTGTCTCTTTATGGTTTGAAGTCACTTTTTCAAAACATCAGCTGAACGTTTATGGGAGCATTCAGCCTCTCTGACTGTCCTGGGTTGTGTGTTGAGTGTGAGACGATGCTGGAGCAGTTTGAGGACGTGGTGGAGGACTGGTACTTCCACCATCAGGAGCAGAGACTGGAGAACTTCCTCTGTGAGGACCACGTCCTTCAGACTTCAGATCGAGGTACAGCACCGAGACTGACAGCTGCTCCACTTTACTTTATGGCTGTTAAAGTTTTCTAGCTCTGGAAAAAAAGAAGAAGCTGATTTTGTGGTTTAATGGTGGAATGTCGTTTATATGGTTCAAGCAAAAACGCTATGTCAGGATTTATAGTTGTCTTTTGTTGACACGTCATTGTTCCTCTGTTAATAATTTATTTTTTCTGTTTTTAGGCTTTGCCACATTTTATGCTATTCTAACCATTCTTGCTCTATCTTTGTCTAATGCTACTTTTAGCTACTGTTAAAATGTTAGCTACTCTGATACTTTTAGCTACTATTTGGCTACTAATTTGCTACAGTTTTGTTACTCTTGGCTATTTTTTTGTTACTCTTGGCTACTATTTAGCTATTCTTGGCTACTGTTTTGCTACTCTTGGCTACTGTTTAGCTGCACTTGGCTACTGTTTTGCTACTCTTGGCTACTGTTTAGCTGCACTTGGCTACTGTTTTGCTACTCTTGGCTACTGTTTAGCTGCGCTTGGCTACTGTTTTTCTACGCTTGGCTACTGTTTTGCTACGCTTGGCTACTGTTTTTCTACGCTTGGCTACTGTTTTGCTACGCTTGGCTACTGTTTTTCTACGCTTGGCTACTGTTTTGCTACGCTTGGCTACTGTTTTGCTACGCTTGGCTACTGTTTAGCTACGCTTGGCTACTGTTTAGCTACGCTTGGCTACTGTTTTGCTATTTTGGCTACTGTTTTGCTATTTTGGCTACTATTTTGCTACTCTTGGCTGCTGTTTTGTTATTCTTGGCTGCTGCTTTGCTAATCTTGACTACAATTGTTACTCTTGGCTACAGTTTTGATCATCTTTACTGTTTTGCTACTCTTTGCTGCTGTTTTGCTACTTCTATCTCTTGAGTACGGTTCTGCTACTGTTTTCTTTTAGCCACGGTTTTGCTACTTTTAGCTTTTATTGGTGATTGTGCTCGTTTTAGTTCCATTTTGCTTATTTTATTTCAACATTAAAAGTTAGTTTTAGCTGCTTGAGCAGTTTCATTCAGTTCTCTGCCTTCACACTTTAGTTTTTAGGAAATATCTGTTTATTTAGCTTTTGTTTTTACTGTCGGAAATAAACAGAGCTGAAGAAGAAAACAAACAAAACACACAAGATGAAAACCAAAATTAAACATATAAACATTCCCAGTTACAACAAATTAAAGTGTTGAGTAGTTCGGGCCAAAGTCACCGACAACTGAGAGTTGGAAGTAAAATGAGCTCGCCCTGCAGAAATAAATATAATAATTTATTTATTAAAAATGATAAACTAATTACATTTATTAATTAAATATAATCAACCTCTTTGTTTCTCCCTGCAGAGTGTCTGCAGGAGGTGTGGAAAGGTGGCGTGGGTCATCAAGAAGAAGCAGATCAGGAGGGGGCCACGCACGACGCTGGAGAACTTTAAAAACAAACAAACAAACAAACAGAGCTGAAGACGACGCCCCCTCAGCTTAAACAGCAGACAGAAACTTTATATTTTAATACTCATGTTTACTTTATTACATGAACAATCTGAACTAATGTGACGCTTTGTACCTCAGAGGTCTGTATGGCAGTACTTTCTGCAGTATTTTTTGCTCCTAACTGCAGTATTTGAACATGTTCTAGTTTAATAAAACACTTCTCACAGCCTTGTCTATGTTTAACCGTGTCAGAAATAAACCGGCCTGCTGCTCGTCAGGCCTGATGAGTGACAGCTGTGCTGCTGCTTCAGCCTGACAGACTCAGAGAAGCTCCTCAGAATGCCTCCTCTTCCTCTGTACTTCCTGTTTTCTCTCCTTCTCTTTGATCCAGTCCAGGGTTCTCCACCCAAATCTGATGGAGTCCTCCCTGCGACCGACGACGAGCGGGCGCTGGTGGTGAAGTGTCGCCAGGGCAGCGTGGAGGTGGAGATGAGAGCTCACCTGCTGGACCCCGGCCTCTCGGGGAGGCTGGTGGTGCTGCGGCTCGGTCCTGACGGAGCAGGAGGGGGTCCCTGCAGCGCCGGGCCGTCATCAGGCGAACCCCTCTCCATCCGAGCACCTCTGAGCGGCTGTGGGAGCAGAGCTTTGGTGGGTGAGCGTCTCGTAGCAGGTCGGTGCTGCTGCCCGGTGGTGTAACCCCCCCGCTGCTGTTTCAGTTCACAGAGAGGGAGGTGCTTTACGTCAACAAGCTGCTTCTGTCCTTCACGCCGGCGGGCGGTGGCTCGGATCAGGTGGAGGCCGTCGCTCTTCCTGTCCTCTGTAGACACTCGAGGTGCTCCATCACTGCTCTCAGGACAGAAGCTCATTAACAGAGAAGCTGTTGAGCCAGTTTTTAATTTACAGTCGTCTGATAAGGACGTAGATCACAACCTTGATTATTTTATTAAAAAAAAAAAAATTAAAAAAGGCAATAATTAGAATAAAAACAAAAAATGGTTAGAGTCAGAAAAGCCAAAGTTGTGCAGTCTGACATTAAACAGCTGAGTTCTCATTATTTTAGCTGTTTCAGCAGAATTCAGCCTTTCAGATATTTAACGTCACAACTTCTGATGTTTTTAAAGAAAGAAAAGTAAAAAGGCCGAGGGAACAGAACAGCAGAAATTAATTTTATTTAAAGCATTTTTAAAATAATTTTGTCAGAATGACAAACTAAAGAAAAGTCAGTGATTTTAAACCGTTTACGCAGGAGGCTTTTGATATTTAACAGATTTATATTTCTGATCGGAGTTATTGTTGAATATTTTCCAAATTGACAAAACCCAAAGCTGCTTTAAAAAAAAAAAAAGCTACACAGGATTAAAACATTTTTAAATGATTAAATAATAATTTTTAAATTTAAATAATAAAAACACCTAGTTGTGTAAAATAATTGTATTAAAACAAAGTACTGATGCAAATTAAACTAGACATTTAGCAAATGCAGCGTGAATTCTTTCTGCTGAATGATTTTTTGCTGAAAAAGCTGAACTGTTGACATTTGCTGAACGCAGGAGAATTAAAGCAGCCGAAATGATCAGAATAAGCTGAAATATGTAGAGCGGCTGAAGAAAGAGTTCCCAAAAAAATAATCTGAACTGAGCAGGAAAAAAATCTCAAATTATAAATGCTGAAAGGAGCATGAAAAGTTAAAATTAAAAAAGAAGGACAAAAGGCTGATATTAACAAGAAAAAACACAAAAAGGCTAAAATTAGTGGGAAAGTACCTAAAAATCTGACAGCAGAATATGAAATTAGCAGAAAGAAGCTGAAAAAAAGAACAGAACAGCTAAATAGAAGAGCAGAAAAAAAGCTGAAATGAGCAAAAAATGTTTCAAACAGCTCAAAGTGAAGGATGTGGAGCGCTCCATATTAAATGAGAACAACATGGCCGAAAAAGCTCAATATTTCAAAAAGTAAAAATTGCACGAATACAAAAAATCATAGCAGGAGGAGGGGAGTGGTGGCGCAGAGTTTGTGATCGAAAGGTTGCCGGTTCAACCCCTCGGACTGACCACATCAAAATGTGGGTGGGATAGGTGAAACACCCACACCCGTGTCCCTCATTTGCCCCACTCTGGGCCCTTGAGCAAGGCCCTTAACCTCCACCATCTGCTCCTCCGGGCACCCTAGACAGCAGCTCCCTGCTCCACACAGAGGGCTGTGGTAGCTCGGTGGTCTGTGGTTTTGTCAGGAAGGACATCCGGCGTAAAAACAATCACCAAGAGTTGGTTCACTGTGGTGACCCCTGAAGAAGGGAGCAGCCGAAAGAAGGAAAAATCCTGATTTTCTTATTAGATTGGCATCGTCTTAACCCTCCTGTTGTCCTTGGATCAAAATGACTCATGAGGAGTCCCTCAAAATTAGCCAAAACATCAGTAAAACAGCTGGAATGAGCCAAAACGTCAGTAAAACAGCTGGAATGAGCCAAAATGTCAGTAAAACGGCTGAAATTAGCCAAAACGTCAGTAAAACGGCTGAAATTAGCCAAAACGGCTGAAATTAGCCAAAACGTCATTAAAACAGCTGAAATTAGCCAAAACGTCAGTAAAACAGCTAAAATTAGCCAAAGGAAGTTAAAAAGAGCTGAATGAAGCTGAACCAGAACAAAAGCAGCAAAAGTTTAGTTTTTTTTTTTTACCATCAAAGAGTTTGAAGGATGAGACGAGAGCTCCATTCATCTTTGAGAAAAACGGAAATAAAGAAAACTAAATATTTCCAAAAGTTGAAATTGCACAAATGCCAAACGTCGTAGCAGGAACGTCCTGAATGAGCTGAACATTTTTGATGTATGAATCGTTGACATGACACAAAAGTTAACACAATAAAAACTCTATATACTGTAGGATATCTTTATACATTTTAATATATGAAGACAATCAGTATCTGAGTAGTCCACTATTGTTGAAGCTTTTAAATGTTTTATTTTTACAACATTACCGGTTTGTCCTTTTCCATGACGTCATGAAGCCGTTTTATCTGCTCCTGTCCTTACTGCGTGGTTCTCCCTCCGACCTGCAGGAGGTACACGGTGAGCAGCGGCGCTCTGAGGCCCACCTGGACTCCTCACGTCTCCGTCCACTCGTCTCGTCTCAGCCTGGACTTCACGCTCAGGTTGATGACCGGTGAGTTTTCTGCTCCTGATTTGTGTAGTGAGGTCACAGGTATGAGGTCCCATTAGTGCCAAAAATATGTTTGTCTATGTAAAGTGTGTATGTAGCATGCTGTGTATATGTTAAGTGATATGTTAAACACATATGTAAAGTAACATATCACCTCTTAACATATCATCTAACGTATCACTTAACATCAAATTACATATACATAGCATGCTACATACACACTTTACATAGACACAAACATATTTTTGGCACTAATGGAACCTCATACACAGGGAGTTTGATTTATAATCTCATGTACTTTATGTCTGTTTGTATAAACTGTACTGGTGTTTTTTTTATTTTTTATTTCCTGTCAGACGACTGGACCGATAAGAGGAGCTCTCCTGTTTACTTCATGGACCAAACGGTCAACATGGAGGCCTCGTTAGACCTTCGTCACCCTCCTCTTCGTCTGTTTGCCGGCAGCTGTGTGGCCACTTTGACTCCTGATGGGAACTCTCGGCCCAGATACCCCTTCATAGACCACCAGGGGTGAGTGTTCGGTTCCTCCAGAAGGCCGCTGTCATAAATCCCGCAGCCACTTCCTGCGTCGTCGTGTTTTCAGATGCTTGTAAAAACCTGGGACTTGAATCTGACGAGGATTTCGTTATGTCTTTTTAAACGTTTGACAGATGTTTCACAGACTCCCTGCTGAGCGGCTCCGGCTCACGTTTCCTGCCGAGGGTCCGGGACCAGATCCTCCAGATTCAGCTCCAGCCGTTCCTCTTCCACCAGGACCACAGACGCACCGTCAGCACCAAACGCGCAACGTTTTGTTTAATTTTAAGCGTCCGTACAAAGAAAATTAATGCGACTCTCTCCGCCTGCAGATTTACATCACCTGCCACCTGGAAGCTGTGCCAGTTTCTAAAGCAGACCCAGAGAAAAAGGCCTGCTCGTTTATAAACGGCAGGTTTGTGTTCACAGCTTGAAGATAATTTTATCCTAAAGTATTGGTAAAGTCAAATAGAAGTTTGTTTTCAGCTGGAGGTCGGTGGACGGTGGTGGTGTGTGTGAGAGCTGCAGCAGTACCAAAAGCAGCCAGCAGAGGGTGCGCCGGAGCCAAAGATCACACACAGGCAAGTCTCTGCTCTGAAGTTTTTTAATCTGACAGATTACCATGAACAGATTATAACTCGCATGTTTCTGATCTTGCAGGGCTGCGCAGAAAAACCACTTTGGGTCCAATCATATTCATCCCTGAACAATCCAACGCCAGTGAGGGTCTTTACCGAGGAAGATGACTTTTTAAAAAAAAATTTACATGTTTTTTATTTTATTTACAGCCGAGCAGTGTAATTTATTTACCGTTTTATTGTTTGACACTTGATGGACGGAGGATTACTTACTGAAAGTTACTGAAAGCCTTTAGCTCGGTGTCTGGACATCCAGCAGTTATTCTCATTTAGTAAGTTTATTTTACGATAAAAAATCTAGTTTTATTTAAAAATAATCCCACTGGTGGGCCGAGCAGAGCACACCCCTGGGCCTGATTTGGCCCCTGAGCCACCAGTTGAATAGCCCTGCCCTAAAGACTCCAAAAAGCAAACGTGACTATTTATTTTGCTCATTTAAAATGTGTCACAAGGAAGTTTACAGAAACGATGTCTTATATTCCTAAAGAGCATTGGAGACATTTTCATTAAATGTGCTAATTTAAAAGTCTTCCAGATTATCAGTCATAAAAATATATATATATTTTTCACATTCTTTATACGGCTCTTAGTTGGAAATATCTTAATTTGGCCTCCTGAAATAAATAAATATTGGCCACCCCTGCTCTAAAGGCTTGAAATGTGCTTTATTTGTACTTAAAAGACCTGAAGTGTTTGCATTTATCCACTTATTTCCCCTTAACTATATTAAATATAACTTCCTTTGACTCTCTTCATAGATCACATTAGAAATGTACACGTCGTTCGACAAAGTATAAACACACCGTTAATCTTTTCAGTTTTTATTTCCAAAGGCAAAAATGACCTGGATTAATGACTCGCCGAGTCGGTCATGGATCGTCATTAAAAGAAACGTGTCGGCAGATTTATTGTTTGAGGGTTTTGGAAGCCCGACCTGATTCTGATGACATCTTTGGAGTTTTTAAATTTCCAGGTGTGAACTGATTTAATGTGATTTAAGAATAAAAAATTGTGTCTGAATCTGTGTTTGAAGCACTCAGGAGAAGCTTTCTGGACGTGTTGATGCTCCTTCGGCAAGCCTCTGTGCAACAGCAGCTAACGCTAGCATAGAAGCTACAGCAGCTAACGCTAGCATAGAAGCTACAGCAGCTAACGCTAGCATAGAAGCTACAGCAGCTAACGATAGCATAGAAGCTACAGCAGCCAACGCTAGCATAGAAGCTACAGCTGCTAACGCTAGCATAGAAGCTACTAAAAACCACCTAAAACCAGATTGGATAACTATGATTCTGTGGAAGGTTTATGAACGATTAACATTTTACCTGCTGTAGATGGCTGTAATAACCTCGGTTTGGAGAAATGCTTTAAAATGATGAGCTAATGGCTAGTCGGAGCAGGTCTTAAAAAAAGTGGATTACTGTTGATTTTACAACATTCTCAAACATGTCCGTGTTTCACAGCACAAGCAATTTTATAAACGTATTTTCATCAGTTTTGTGTTTATAAAAAAAATTAACTCCAATACCAGCGGCGGCAGCTAGTTTTAGCACTTCCTGTGCATTCTGGTGTCACTTCTAGCTAGAATAACACGATAATAATCACGATAATGTAAGGACGTCTTATCTAGTGGTTGGCTACAAAATCTTGTTTGTTAGCAAAATATCTTGTGAACGACAGGATGGATTTTAATTAAATTATTGGCTGAACGTACGTCTACAGATTAACATTTGGAATGAACTTGATTGAAGGTAGAATTTATATTTAATCCACCTTGGAAAACACAAAAATGGCTAAAGTTCAGTCAGTTTTTCAGATATTGAGTTACAATGCGGTGCGGTAGTAGCTGAGCATCACCCCCAACATATTCTGAGCACTAGCAGATGTGAGAAGATTTTTAGCATTTTGAGCAGGTTCTATGTTTGCTGCATGTTGATTCTATTCAAATGAATTAGTTTGGTCAGATTTCTACTTTATTTGTCCAAACAAGATGTTCAAAGAGCTATCTACAACAGGTAAGATACTTACACTAGTTTTTCTTAGTTTGGTCAGATTTAAACTATTTCTCCAAACTGAGGACGTTCAAAGAGCTATCTGTAACAGGTAAGATACTTGCACTCTAGTTTCTCTTAGTTTGGTCAGATTTCAACTCTTATTTCTCCAAACTGAAAACGCTCAAAGAGCTATCTACAACAGGTAAGATGGTTACACTCTAGTTTTTTTAGTTTGAGCACATTTCAACTCTGTTTCTCCAAACTGAAAACGCTCAAAGAGCCATCTACAACAGGTAAGATAGTTACGCTCTAGTTTTTTTTAGTTTGAGCATATTTCAACTCCTATTTCTCCAAACTGAGGAGACTTATCTACAACAGGTAAGATGGTTACACTCTAGTTTTTTTTTTTTTTTTTAAGTTTGAGCAGATTTCAACTCTTATTTTTCCAAACTGAGGACGTTCAAAGAGCTATCTACAACAGGTAAGATACTTGCACTTTAGTTTCTCTGTGCTGAGACATTCCCTCTGGTTTCTTATGTAAGCATTAAATGTTTCAGTCATGATGGACGGCGAGCCCCTCGCTTTGTAACATCTGGGACAGACTTCAGCTCTGATCCTTGGCTCAAATCTTTGTCCCACCAGGACGTCCCACGGTGAGACAACCTTGGCCTGACGACTCTCCGAGGACGAGGTGCTGTCTCATCAGCAGCAGAAGCTAAACCGCTCTGACTGTTGTCTTCTGCTGAACATTGATCTGTGAGCTAAAGTTAAAAAAATGTACAATTTGTGAGTTTTCTGTTTTTTCGGCCCCTCGTGCTCCTGTCAGCACTTGATCTGGACTCAAAGTGAAGAAAGCTCTGAAAAGAAAAACATAACTGTTGGATCCATGGCAATACACTATGATACAATACACTATGATACAATACACTATGATACAATATGATGCAAGATGATGCAAACCCAATACAATATGATGCAACACAGTATAAAACAAGATGATGCAAAACAATACAATTCAATACACTATGATACAATACACTATGATACAATACACTATGATACA